TTCATTCAGCTAGAATTCTGAAACTATTAGAAATTATTGGGGCTCATGAGATGGCTCAGTGGTCTAAAGCACCTACTTAGAACAAGCTTAGCAAAGCTCAGGGACTGCGGTTCAATCCCCCAGCACCACATGCCAGCCAGCCCCGCCCCCCTGGTGGGCTGAGCTGGCCACATAAATAAATAAATAAATAAATGATAGAGACTAAGGCAACGGACCTCCACAAGTTCAAGGTCAGCCAGAACTACATATGGAGTTCAAGGCTACCCTGAACCACATAGTGAGACCCTGTCCCTCTGTGTCCCCTCAAAAAAACTCAAGACAGTAGTACACTTTATTTATTTATTTTGGTAGTACCAATGAATCAAACTCAGGACCTTGTGCTTGCCAGACAAGATTCCACTAAGCTATCTCTCTGGCCAAAAACCTGAGAAGGATCTTGGTTTTTTTGTTTTGTTTTTGGCTGCCTTACGCTACCTAAAGGGCAGGTCTGGTGCAGCAGGTGGAGCTGGGGATCAAACCACAGTCCTCTGTGCCCAACTGAGTTTGCCAGAGTCGGTGCTTTAAACAACTGAGCTAACCTTCAAGCCCCCTAGATTTTAGATATATGGCTTTCTCCACATGAAAAAACTTACAGAAACACCAGGAATTTAAAAAAAAAAAAAAAATTGGGCCTGGGGATATAGCTCAGTAGAGTAAGCACTTGCCTGGCAAGTGCAGGGTCCTGAGTCAATCCCCGGTACCTTTTAAAAAGGAAAAAAAAAAAAAAAAAAAAAAAACCCACCAGGAATTTGTGGGGGAAAAAGATACTAGTGATGACCGAGAACAGCTTTTACACTTACACATGGAACACCAGCAATGCTAGGTATATCAACCTCGTGATAAGAAATCTCACTCAAAAAAAAAAAAATTTTTTTTAAAGAAATCTCAGGCCAGCCAGATAGCTCAGCATCAGCTTAGGCAGATGCAGGGACTGGGATTCGAACCCTAGCACACTGCGCCAGGCGTGCTCGCAGGGAGCAGGGAGCGCTGAGACTGGGTGTGGTGGTGCACGCCTGCAATCCCAGCTCTTGGAAGGCTGAAAACAAGATCACTACAAATCCAATCTGACCAGTGAGACTCTGTAGATCCTGTACTAAATACATTAAAAAATAAAAAAATTGGGGCTGGAGAGATGGCTCAGTGGTCTAAAGCACCTACTTAGAACAAGCTGAGCAAAGTACAAGGACCGCGGTTCAATCCCCAGCACCACATGCCAGCCAGCCCCGCCCCCTGGTGGGCTGAGCTGGCCACACACGCACACACAAATAAATAAACAAAATAAATAAATAATAAAATTTTTTTTAAAAAACCTCACATTTATTTTTTATTTCAAATCAGGAAAAAACAAAAGCAAAAAGCAAATAAGATACCATTTAAAAAGTAGTCCAAAAAAATAAGTTGTCATAGTACATTCCAATTAAAAAGTTACACATTTTTATTAAAGTCAGGGATATCAAAAGAAAACTTTCCTTCTGGAAAATCGAGAGTGCAAGTTCTTGAGCATCCCTAGACATGTGCATGTAATTTTTTACCTGACAGTCTGATCATAGAAAGTACCAGAATCATCAGGTACAGCCTCGGGCGTCTGCTGCCTTTCTTCAGGCTCTTCTACTTCTTCCTCAGATTCTAAAGAAGGAAGATATATTTAAAATATTTTGTCCTTAATGAACTAACAAATTGAGTCTTTAAAATGTCTCCTATGGTCAAATAAACAGAAACAAAAAGAGCACAGTTCAATTCAATAAAAATCACAGCCTAGACTTTTAAGTATACAATTATACCAACTGGTGTTTGGTTCAGAACATACGAAATTCTCAAGCAGTATTTCCAGAAATCTAACGAGGTTCTTCCACCATATGAACTATACGACCTTCAGCAAACTACTCCATCGCAGTGCCACAGAAACAGTATGTCAGGGCCAGGGAGATGGCTCAGTGGAATGAGCACTTTCCTGGCAAGTGCAAGGGCTGAGTTCAATCCCTAGTTCAAAAAAAAAAAAAAAAAAGAAAAGAAAAGAAACAGTATGTCAACTCTTATGTAAAAGATCATGTGGCCAGGAAGACAGCTCCGTGCATAAGCACCTAACTGGCATGCACAAGGTCATGAGTTCAATCCCCAGTACTGTAGAAAAAAAAAAGAGGGCCAGGGAGAAGGCTCAGAATAAGTGCTTCCCTGGCAAGTGCAAGGGCCTGAGTTCAAATCCCAATTCCACAAAAAAAAAAAAAAGATTGTGTGGGCCAGCAATATAGCTCAACAGACCAAGTGCCTGCTTAGGCTGGGCTCTATCTCTGGCACCACATGCTGCATCAGCCCCACCCCCAGGTGCGCTGAGCCGGCCGAGACCTGGCATGGTGGTGTGCACCTGTAATCCCAGCGCTGGGGAAGCTAAAAACAGGAGGATCACTAGAAGTCTGAACTGCATAGTGAGTCCCTGCACCAAATACATAAATTTAAAAATAAAAATAGGGGCCAGGGAGATGGTTCAGTGGAATAAGAGCTTCCCTGGCAAGCACAAAGGCCAGCTTCCGCTAAAAAATAAAAAATTTTAAAAAGATGGTTGGGGCTGGGGAGATAGCTCAGTAGACTAAGCATTTGCCTGGCAAGTGCAAGGTCATAAGTTCAATCCCCAGTTCCCCCTCCAAAAAAAAAATAAAATAAATTAAAAGATGGTATATTGTACAACAAATACAAAGCACTTAAAACAATCTGTTGTATAGCAAATATTCAAAGAGTACTAGAGATGACTCTATGGAGAATGAGGTCTGTTGCTGCACATATTCCATTCCTAACTTCTGTCTTCAACAGTACAGCACCTTTAGAGAAAAGCCCTTCTTTGAAGAGCAAAGGGGAAGCACGCTTCCTCCCAAGTGTAGAAGACTTGGGGCTGCCTGGCTCATTACCCACCCCATGTTCTCCAGGGAACACCTCATCCTATATCTCAGCCCAAGCTCACTCTGCAGAGCCAGTTTTGCCCTAGCTCTTCCTTTCCTTTTCTTTTTCTCTTTTTGTATTTTTAGTACAGAGTCTATAGTAGGGTCTCACTACACAGATCAGACTCATAGTGATCATCCTCCAGTTTTCAGCCTCCCAAGTGCTAGGATTATAGGTACACATGCCACACCCAGTCTCAGTGTGTCCCTCGGGCGAGGCAGGCGTGGCACTCTGGGGATGGAACTGGTCGCTGCACATGCTTAAGCAGGTGCTTTAATCTGCTGGCCCTTCACTTACCTTTCAAATACTTCGTCACTACTGTAAATAAACAAGACTTGGGTTCTCTAAACGAACGGTTCTTCCCCTTTAACACAACTCTGACTTCTTCATGGCTTCCTGACAAAATGCTATTAGTGCTGTCAGTAATAATTTGTGCACCTTAGTTTAATGTCTTCTACAAACATCTATTATTTGTGTCAAAAAAGTAAAACTGGAAAAAAAAAAAAAAAAGTACAACTGGGGCCGGGAGATAGCTCAGTAGAATAAGCGCTTCCCTGGCAAACACAAGGGACTGAGTTCAATCCCCAATTCTGCCAAAAAATAAAATTTAAAAAA